AAACAGCTGAAAATCGAACAGAAATTGTTAATCAAATATTAGGCTATTTCTTAAAATTACTTAAATGTTAAAGGTAAAATTACTCGAATAAATTAATGAATGATGAATAGGCCTTTGTAGCCTATTTAGTTTCTGAATTGTGATCAAGTAGTTGCTGTTCATTGTAAATATTTAATAATATTTGGCATAAAAGGAATTCAATCTCTTGACCAGTAATCAGCTAAATAACGTCTCTCTAGGTGAAAGCCTGACAGCTAGTGGCTGTCTTTGTGTGCATGTATGTACAGTATGTATGATGCCAGGAAAAAAGTCAGTCTTGGAATATGTACAACAGTACCATCTGCTGGTTCATAAAGTGTACATAAAGACAACAGGCATACTGTACTGGAATAAATTTGACTAAAAACTGTTCCCTAAGCAACACCAGGTGACAGAAGTTTTCTTTTCTCTTTTTAATAGATACATAAATGTCCAAAAATAAATTAATTAATTAGCAAACAAAACATAAACTAAGCCATTTGCAGAGAACGAGCTCCTCAATTCTCAATCCAACCGAACAGAGCCATAAAATAAAGCAAACCTGGAATCCAAATCTCATTACATGTTTAATGACCACATACAACTAAAAATAGCCATACAAATCATCTAAAGGCTTGTCTGTTTAAACTGTGTAGACTAAATATTTTCATTTATGCTTTTTTTTTTTTAAAGAAGAAATCAGATATTTTTGTGTTGATTCACAATTCGGATGACTTAACTATTACAGTAAAATGTGAAAACGGTAATAACAACAATAACTTAAATGAGCGTTTGGTTCAAACTATGTGAATGGGATGTGCATATAGACTACACATAAATTATGAATCAATACAGTGCTTGGATTAGCCTGCCACATTCATGCAAGGCACAATGAATATAATGTACAATCAATCAGTAATGAGCGAAACCTAGTTGCGACACACCCCAAAGTAAAAATTGTGAGGCCATTATCACTTACAGTTTTCATAACTCTGGGTGTGTTGTAACTGAAGACGTTTACAAACTAAAGGGGTTTGTTACAGCTGAATGCAGCTCCTGCTGAACACTGTAGCCTGTGTTTTATGCATCTGATGTCCATGTTTGTAAATTAGATTGATTGAAATAGACTTACAAATGATAAATGTGACTCAAGCAGAGGAATGATGAGAAGACTTCATGGCTCCATCGTTTGGTGAAAATCAGCCTTCAGAAAATGTTGATTAGATTTACAGTGTTGCCAATTTAGCAATTTTGTTGCTAGATTTAGCAACTTTTCAGACAACCCTAGGAACTTTTTGTTTTGTTTTGTTTTTCAAAAAGCACCTAGCGACAAATTTAGCTATTTTTATCTATCTATCTATCTATCTATCTATCTATCTATCTGTCTATCTGTCTGTCTATCATCTATCTATCTATCTATCTATCTATCTATCTATCT